TCGCGCCATTGTGCACTCCAGCCCAGGCGACAGTGCGAGACTCTCTCTCAAGGAAAAAAAAAAAAAAAAGCAGGAAGCGGGGGTCCACTGCACTGAGTGTGCACATTTGCACGGACCACAGGGGCGTCTGCGGCTGTGGGTGGAGAGAAAATCCTGGACCACACATTTGGGAGTCGGAGCGTGTGTAACAGCGTGGGCGACAGGTGAGGGGCTCGTGCGTGCAGCTGTGCGTCCTGCGAGTGACATCTCGGACTGAGGAACTGCGTTCAGTGCTCTGGGGTGCGAGTCCCCGCGCAGGAGCCTGGCGCGTCAACCGGGAAGACCCGCACCCGGGCCGGACCCTGCGATCTCTGGCGCCATCTGCTGGTTGACAGACGCCACGACCTGAGAAAGGTCCTTCCAGTCCCCCTCATTGCCCAGCTGTGGACTCCAAACAGGGCCACAACCCAGGAGCTCCTCCCGCTAACCCATGTCAGCAGAAAAGCCCTGTGGGCCGGCGTGTGTCCACCTCTGCTCCTCTGGACAAAGATGCTCAGGTCAGAAATACCCACCTGACACTCCCTCCACCCCGATACAGCCCCACCTGCACAGCTCAGATTGACACTCTCTCTAGTACTTGGGACCATATCTGCTATTGAAAGAACAAAATAAATTATATTTATCAAGATTGAAGAAGCAAGTCATTAATGAAGGAATTCTTTCATTTAACATTCAATTACGGAGGGCTCACTGCAAACTAGGTTCTCAGTATTGTGAGTGTCTAGCAGGAGGAAACTCTTTAAATGTCAGGTTCTACTGAAATATTGTGAATAGAATATGCTGGAAAAAGAAAGAAACATAGAGATTCTGTGTTTAGTGCTACTGTGTATTTATACAGTACACTTTATAGCATACTGTGATACTGTGAAAAAATAAAGCTGCAGAAGAAATATAGTTGTATTTCAGTCCCTACCCGTGTGGCACACGGCTGTTCTAGGTGGTTTATTTAGATTGTTTCCATTTTGACAAATGAGGAAATCGAGGAGAGAACTAACATCCTCTGTTTTTTAAGCCTTAAAAAACACTGGATTGAGCAGAACTGTGACATTTTATTTTTGTTTCTCTGCTTCTTTGAAAAGAGATGGAGTGATGGCTCAGAGATGAAATAATCAAACCCATGATTAAATCAGTGAAATGAAGGGTCTAACAAACAACTAAATAAAGGTCACTGAGCTGGGACTACAAGCATGTGCCACCATGCTTGGCTAATTTTTGTATTTTCAGTAGAGTCAGGGTTTCACCATGTTGGCCAGACTGGTCTTGATCTCCAAACCTCAAATGATCCGCCTGCCTCAGCCTCCCAAAGTGCTGGGATCACAGACATGAGCCACTGTGCCCGGCCTCACCCACAATTTTTTGTGTGCCAATTCCCTGGAGGTTCCGAACTCTCCTTCCATAACTGAAGTCAGAATCTCCATGGGTCACGCTGCTGCCTGGACAGACTCCTTAGGTGGGGGCTGTTCCTCCCACCACCGTCTGCTTTATGGATTCATCGCTTCCCATGAGAGCTACCAGCACTTTCCCATCCTTGTTCCAGGATTTTTGCTTTTTTACCCAAACCATGACCATCTCAATCCTGGGTGCACCACCCAGAGCCTTCTGCAACACAAATTCTCACCCCACTGCTGTGAGCACTGCAGCAAATACATCATGCATCAGGTTATAGAATATTGTTTTTTTTTTTTTTTTTTTTTGACATCTAGTGGGAATCTTGAGCATTTGCTCATTAACATGGTCATCAGGGTTCCCAAATTCCCTACAAGGTAAATGTAGAGGATCAATAAACCGCCTAAGTCATTTCATGCATCCTGTGATAGGCACCAGCCCCCCTTTCTGCCCAGAAATGAGCTAACTGGCTGACAAAATCCTACAAAAACTCAAGGCCCAACTAAATGGCTGCTTCCTATATAAGCTTTTTCATAGCTCCAGAGAAATTGTTTCCACCATCTTTTGTTCTGTCATGAGAAATTGCACACCGATCTCACAGAACTCTGCTCACAAGTTTTAGCTGGGGTTGTGTCTTTTTCAGTTTTATTTTTCCTCCTTAGAGAATATAGAGGGCTGGACCCTGTCTTTATATTTGGGTGTGGAATGTCCTGGAATCCAGAAAAACATAAACTACAAAATGATTGCTTCATAAACAAAATTCAACTTGATCCAATCACCGGAAACCAATATGACTTCCTACATCCCATTTCCTAAGACTTCATTTCCATCATCTAGACACTGAATCACTGAGGCTCATCTCATCCGTTATAAATCATATTTGAATAGGACCAAATTTAGGTATATTTGAAAGTATATATAAAGAATGAAAGCATAGTCATTTAATACGTGATATACTTTTAGGTGGGGGAAATAGTAAGATTATATTTATTCAAGTTATTTAAAATTTGATTCTGGGTGCGGTGGCTCCTGCTGGTAATCCCAGCACTTTGGGAAGCTGAGGCAGGTGGATCACATGAGGTCAGGTGTTTGAGACCAGCCTGAGCAACATGGTAAAACCCAGACTCTACCAAAAATGCAAAAATTGGCCAACTGTGGTAGTGCACGCCTGTAATCCCAGCTACTTGGGAGGCTGAGGCATGACAATTGCTTGAACTGGGAGGCAGAGATTACAGTGAGCTGAGATGGTGCCACTGCACACCAGCCTGGGCAATAGAGGGAGACTTCGTCTCAAAAAAAAAGTTATTTAAGAGTTGAAAATGAAGCTGTTCTTCTATAAATTAAGTACACGTTAATCACTTAAATTAACCTAGCCTCTTCCATGAGATCTGTAGATTCATTATTCCTTTTGCTCAGGATTTGAGTGTCTCTGAGTCATCTGATCCCATGAGGAATCATATTTAAAGAGGGCCAAAACTAGGCCTCTCTTCAAAAAGTATGTAGAAAGAAAAAAGTTATTTCATTTGTGATAAAATGTGAGACGGGAAAAATAGCAAGGTGATATTAGAATCATTTGCATTTTGAAATGAAACTACAAATATCTCAGTAGGGGATTTTTTTTTTTTTTTTTGAGACATAGTCTTGCTCTGTCTACCAGGATGGAGTGCAATGGCACTGTCTTGGCTCACTGCAACCTCTGCATCCTGAGTTCAAGCTGGGACTACAGGTGTGTGCCACCACAGACAGCTAATTTTTGTATTTTTAGTAGAGACCAGGTTTCACCATGTTGGTCAGGATAGTCTCCATCTTTTGACCTTATGATCCACCTGCCTAGATCTCCCAAAGGGCTGGGATTATGGGTGTGAGCCACCGTGCCCAGCTCAGTGGGGGATTTTTAGGCACAGATGGGGATTAAAAAGAAAAGACTCAAGCCTGGTTCTTGGGAAAGAAAAGTGCCATTTACTTCACTGTTAGTGATTTCCACTTGAAAACATAAGCAGCAGAGAAAATGTTCCCTGTTCTTTGACTCTTGATTGTATCCGAACACTGAAGTTCCTAATACGCAGAGTTTAACAGTCATTCCTCACACTTTAAATTATTCCTGCGACTTATCAGAAATTTTCAGAATGGAAGATGAACAAATGGAAGTAAATAAAAACACTTTAAGATTTTCTCATTGGCATGCATGTGCCTATTATCTTTGAGTCTGATGTATACATAAATTTATAGCTCTTTGTAAAAATGTGAATGCAATCACACTGATAATCTCTTTGAATACTCTGAGCAAAGCTTGAAGTGTATAATCTATAACAGTAAAATTGTTACTGCTAACAAATGCTGGAAGAATCTCTAAACTAGGCTCATAGTATTAGTAGGTCAGGTCTAATCTAATCTAAAGTGATGGCAATTCAATCTTCTTTTTCAAGGTAAATAGTGTCAAGATGAAGGTTTTTACTAAGAATATTGTTGACTGCAGATTTATCACTAACAAAAAGCTTATTCCCCGCTATAATTAAATAAAAACCTGATTAGGTTACAGGGGTGGCAGGGTGTGACCATGCAGGATTAGAGGGTGTGGCAGGGTGTGACCATGGAGGGTGGGGCAATCTCGCCAATAAAAGGCCCTCCTACGCCTCTTCCCCACAGACCTCACTCCTGTGCAAGACGATGGCTAGCGAAGGAGCTCTCAGCAGAAGAGGTAAGCACATCTGTGCACTTTGTTTTCCCTTCTCAGATGTCCAGAATTAGGGTTATAGCACAGGCGATGAATGAGAGAAATTCATGATTCATGCATTCAAAAAGGCTGTCTGAGTGCTGCCTTGGAGTTGAAATCAGTCACCCTGGGTCCCCTCACTCTAGGAGTGGTGGCAGTCAATTTGGTATTCGGTCCCAAGGCTGCAGAAAGGTTGTAGTTGTTTTATTGTTTTTTTTTTTTTTTTTTTTTTTTGAAATGGAGTCTTGCTCTGTCGCCAAGCTAGAGCATGCTGGTGAGATCTGGGCTCACTGCAACCTCCAACTCCTTGGTTCAAGCAATTCTCAGCCTCCTGAATAGTTGGGATTACAGGCATGTGCCACCACGACCAGCAATTTTTGTATTTTTAGTAGAGACGGGGTTTTGCCGTATTGGCCAGCATGGTTTCTGTCTCCTGACCTGGTGATCTGCCTTCCTCAGCCTCCCACAGGGCTGGGATTACAGGCGTGAGCCAAAGGTTGCAGTTCTTATTCTCATCAATCTCTTGCTCGGGCTCCCCTTGGAGAGGTGAAACCCCAGCTCGCGGCTCCTCACATGGGTGCTGCTGTGTCACGGGGTCAGGCTCATCTGCTGGCACAGCTGCTGGGTCACCAGGAGAATCGACCCTTTCTCCTCCTCAGCTCAAAGCACAGGGACCCTTCGGGACTTGTCTTTCCCGATAGAACCTCACCTCTCTAAAGGCAGAACCATGTGCTCAAGTGTTTGTACTCATGGTCTTGTTCTGGGATTACAAAGCTGGAACACAGCAACTCTATGCATGGAAAGGTGGTCACCTGTCACACACTAATAGGCTGTCACTTCATGAAAATTCACTTCCCTGCCCATGTTTCTCCCCCTGGCAGTGAGCACGGATGAACTTTTAAAAGAAGCAACCAGATGTCCCATCTGCACAGCTTACTTCGAAAAGCCAATGACCCTGGAGTGTGAATGCGTCTTCTGTCTCAGTTGTACCAATTCACTACAGAAGGAGCCCCAAGGGGAAGGTGTCTTGTGTCCCTTCTGCTTGGTGGCTTCTCAGAAAAACAACATCAGGCTCAATCGGCAGCTGGGGAGTCTGGTTTCCCACATTAAGGAACTGGAGCCCAAGCTGAAAAAAATTCTGCAGATGAACCCAAGGATGCGGAAGTTCCAAGGTAAGGAATCTATATACCCTGCCCCTGTCCCAATATCAGAAGAGGAAAAAGCAATTGGCTCTCCATACCATCTGGGAATTAGCTGATACCTGGCACCTGACATTGAGATGTTCCTCTGGCATCAGTGATTCTCAACCCTGACAACACATAGAACCACCTGGTTTTTAAATTTTTTGATCTCCTACAAAAAACACCCATGTCTGTGTCTGTGTCATGGATTAGACAAGGGATTATCAAAACTTAAAAGAAATCTGCACATATTTATGGGATACATATGCAATTTGGTTACGTGCATTGATTACGTAGTGGTTAAGTCAGGGCTTTTAATGTATCCATCATTCAAATAAGGTATATTTATTGTACTCATGAACCAATTAATTTCCCATAATCCCCCTCTTCCACACCCACATCTTTCTGAGTCTCCATTATCTATGATCCCCTCTCTGTCTCTATATGCACTTTTTAAATCACCCATTTATGAATGAGAATCAGTGACAATGACTTTCTGTGCATGGCTTGTTTCACTTAAGACACTGACCTCTGATTCCCTTCATGTTGCTGCAAAAGACACAATTCCGTTCTTTTTTATGTCTGAGTAGTATTCTATTGTGTATATGCATACCACATTTTCTTTATCCATGCGTCTGTTGATGGACATTTATTGTAAACAGTGCTGTGATAAATGGGAGAGTGCAGCTGTCTCTTCTATATACTGATGTCCTTTCTTCTGTACACGTACCCAGCAGTGGGATTTATGGATTCCTTGGTAGTTGTATTTTGAGTTTTTTGAGGAACCTCCATACTGCTTTCCATAATGGTCATACTAATTTACATTTCCACTGACACTGTGTAAGAGTTCCCTTTTCTTCACATCCTCACTGGCATTTATTTTGTGCTTTTGATAACAGCCATTTTAACCAGGGTGAAATAATATCTTATTGTGGTTTTGATTTGCATCTCTCTGAGTGTTGCTGAGCATTTTAAAAAATACCCGTTGGACATTCATCTGCCTTCTCATCCTCCAAGGAGGATGCAGGGGAAGTCTTATCTGTTAATGTATTAGGAGTAGGGTGGGGTTTGGGGTGGGGTGGTCATTGCCGTTTGAGCTGCTGATTCTCATGAGTCGCCTTCAAAACTCTCGTGTAGGGTTGACAATGTGGGGGGTGGGGAATCCAACTTATTTTATTTTCAAGTCCATTCTTGGGGCTGGTGGGGAGGCAGGAGAATGCCCCTCCCTAAGCCCTTAGTGTGTGCCGAGCTTGCTTTTTGATGTTGGCAGGGGAGGGGGGGCCTGGGTGGTGACTGAGTTCCCTATATCAAACCCTTCAATGGGCACAAAATTGAGTGCTTGATTTTAGGTTTTATTTTTTTATGAATGTCCAAATCTGTTTCCCCCTGCCCTCCCAGACTGTGTGGCCAGTTGAAAGTGTCTAGTTTGTGTTCATCTCTCCCTCATTTCTGGAGCAGGGCCTGAGACCCTGCCACATCTCCTATGCTCTGCATCTACGCCTCTTTTGGACATTAAAGGTTGACTGATGCAAAAAAAAAAAAAAAAAAAAAAAAAAGAATTTGATGTCTATTCAAATTCTTTGCCCCCTTTTTAATGGGATTGTTTGTTTTTATGCTGCTACTTGAGTTTCTTGTATATTGTTAGTATTAGTTTTGTCAGATGAATAGTTTAAAAATCTTTTGTCTCATCCTACAAGTCTTTGAAATAATCCAGTTTGACAAAAAAAAAAAAAAGAAAAAAACCCAGAATATAATTTAAAAAATTCAGAAAGCCTATGTGACCAAATATTCAATTTTTTTGGAGTTCCAGAGACAGGCAAAGGCATAGAAACCCATTTAACAAAATAATAGCCGATACCTTATTTTAATGTACAAAATCTATATTCGTAGTCACATCTATCTTTGGCCTTGAAGGATAATATGTTCTGTAGATTTTTTTTTCCAGAATGGTCTAGACAATAAATTTTCCTAGGCCAGATCACACCCCTTCCTTTCTTCCTCTTCCATTAAAATTGGTGACTTCACCTTTCAACCACACACCCAATGCTGCCAAGTGCTTATTCTAATACTGTTCAAATACCTTGATCTCAGCTCTTAAATTTAAGCTCATTAACCTTGTCTTGCTTAAGACCTCAACTCTCCTGTAGGATAAAGAGCATTCTTCCGTCTAGGTCCTTATCCTCCTCTTACACTTAACGTCCAGGAATGTGTCCTCTTAATGTCTGGGAATGGGACCTCTGTCATCGCACTGTCAGCTGCAGAGGTATCCCATCTCCCGTCAAAACTGTGAACAAAATTAATTGGTTACAAATGTGGAGAACAAAAGCCTGGATCCATGCCCTAGACACTATTTAAGTTGGACCAATAAAATCTGAAAACAGAAACATCTTTTAATATTGCTAACCTGCATTGTCTTAACTATCACTCTTCTTTTTTTTCTTGAGACGGGGTCTCACTCTGTTGCCCAGGCTGGAGTGCTGTGGCACAGTCTCGGCTCACTGCCACCTCCGCCTCCCAGGTTCAAGTGATTCTCCTGCCTTGGCATCCCAAGTAGCTGGGATTACAGGCACCTGCCACCACGCCCTGCTAATTCTTTGTATTTTTAGTAGAGACAGGGTTTTACCATGTTGGCCAGGCTGATCTCGAGCTCCTGACCTTGTGATCCACTCGCCTTGGCCTGTCAAAGTGCTGGGATTACAGGCGTGAACCGCGGTACCCGGCCAACTGTCACTCTTTTCACTCATTGGTATAGTAGAAAGAGAGCCGTGGTGTCTGTCTGGAGACCCTCCACTCTAAGCCAAAGAAATACATGGCATAAACAAACACACGACATAATGTAAAATAAGAACTTCTGTGAATAAGGGCCAGGATTGCAACAAGTTTATCTGTGAGAATTTCAACTACTCAGAGAAGTTGTCTCAAGAAAAGCGCTGCCTCCAGGGAGAAAGCAGAGTGAAAGAAACCAAAGTCAATGAGCTGTTTGGGACTCTGTGGGAGAGGAGTCACTTGGGCTTGGCTTCTGTCCATTTGCTGAGCTACTTGTTTTGCTTTTCGCAGTGGAGGTGACCTTGGATGTCAACACGGCTCACAACCTCCTCCTCATTTCTGAAGACCTCAGGAGTGTCCAATGTGGGAGGATCCATCAGAATCGGCCAGATCTCGCTGAGAGATTCAACTTGGCAGGTGCTGTCCTGGGCTCTCCTGGTTTCACCTCTGGCCGCCACTACTGGGAGGTGGACCTAGGAATAAGTGAAGAATGGAACCTGGGAGTCTGCAGAGAATCTGCCAGCCGCAAAGGGATCATCCAAATGATCACGGATCATGGATTCTGGATTGTGAGTTTGAGGTCTGGGGGACTCCACTTTGCTAACACAAGCCCTCCAACACCCCTTTGGGTGAACCCCAATTTACAGCGAGTGGGGATTTTTATGGATAGAGGCATGGGAGACATCTCCTTTTACCACCTTGGAGATGGATCCCACATCTATACATTCACGAATGTTTTTCCTGAGGAGCCGCTGCGCCCATATTTTGCTCCTTCCACTCTCCCAGATCAGGGAGTCCTAAGTGTCTGTCCCGTGACAAACCCAGGCACTGCCCATCCGGTCCTTCCTGGGGAGGGCAAATAAACCCCCACTGCATAGAAATAGGATTGGAAAATTAAATTACTTGGTGGGTAGACATAGGAAGTTTCTGTTGGCAGAAAAATATAGACCGTTACATGATGTAATTAACTTCATAGATTCATTAGCATAGAAATTGAGCTTTAAATATTGATCGTTGGCACCACCAAACGTGTTGAGCTTTGTGTTTATATTTTGTTTCCTAATGATATGTCTTGTATTCTTAAATTAATTTCCAAATGCTTTACCGTTTAGTTCTGTAAGTTTAATTTAATGTATTGTGGAGTTTATAAGTTAATAAATATTTGGCTGTAACCAAATGAATTCTGTGAGTTTCTAAATAATAGGGGGGCAAGACTTTTTATTCATAGTGCAATGTAAGTTTGTGTGCAAGTGTGTGAGGGGGTGTGTGGGTGTGTGTGAACAAGACAAATGTAGATAAATACCTGTGTCATATCCAGCACTGACCAACTTTCCAGCACCACGGCTCCATGTAGCTAATGTTGTCTTGGATGTGAGCTTGTCTACGTTAACAACGGTAATCCCCCACTGTAGAATGCACTGTTTGGTCTCAAGTGCACTCCTGGTAACACCTGACCCTGATCAGCCAATCCTCCCTCCTTCCATTTCCCCTGTGGGGTCCTCAGTGCTGTGCTCCTCCTGCTGACACAGCTCTGGTCACTGTAGAGACAGTTGCTGGGGTCCAGGCAGTCACGCTGTCACCACAAGTCAGTTCCCCACGGAGGGATCTACTGAAACTAGTGCGGCGTTTTCAAGTGTTCATTGCATTTTAAACCATTGGCAACTTTTATATACTATTTTTTTTTTTGAGAGCCTCACTCTGTCACCCAGGTTGGAGTGCAGTGGTGTGATCTCAGCTCCTGCAGCCTTGACCTCTCCAGGTGCAGGTGATCCTCCCACCCTAGCCTCCCTGTAGCCCCAGCTGGGACTACAGATCACCATACATATCCAGCTAATTTTTCCTTTATCTTTTTTGTAGGAAGGGAGTTTCACCATGTTCCCCATGCTGGTCTCAAACATCTGGGTTCAAGTGATCTGCCCACTTTGGTCTCCCCAAATGTTGGGATTGCAGGGGTGAACCACAGCTCCTGGCCTTATATTCCACTTTTAAGAATCATCGAAGATGGCCAAGGGTGTGATTTGTCAGCCTTGTGAGCTGATTTAGAAGAGGCCCTGCCTCCTGGCCACATGAATGTGCTGGGGATATCTGTAATATTGCATGAAAAGTACACTTTCAGCAGAGTCAGGAAGATCCCAGACTCTGACTTCAGAATTCATTTTCAGAGAAACCATTGGAGGGAAAGGTAGAAGCAGGAGAAAAAGGAAGAAGCCAAGCAAAAGTGAAACTTTACGTAAAACTCACGTTTCTAAAATAAATTTATGTATTTATTATTTTCTCAGAGACAGGGTCTCACTATGTTGCCCAGCCTGGTCTGGAACTCCTGGTGTCGAGCTGTTCTCCCACCTCAGCCTCCCTCGTAGTTGGGGTCAGAAGGGGCAGCCACCACATCCTGCCTCAAATATTCTTTATCTTGAGACTTCTTCAACCCATGTGTTACTAAATCTCTAAACATTTTCAGAGAAGAATGTTTAAGATTTTTGAAATTTTCTGTCTTTCTGCTATAGATAGATATTCTGATTTATTGTGATCTGAAACCATCCTTTGTATGATTTATATTCTTTTCAATATGTGAAGGTGTTTTACGGCCCAGAATTTGGTCTACGTTGAATATTCCTTGTGGGCAGACCAGGCACCAGACCTCAATCTCGGGCGCCATCTGCTGGTTCTTAGAACAAACTGCCCGAGAAAGGCTCCCTCAAATCCTCTCATTGCGGGGTTCCCCAGGTGATAAACAGGATCAACGCCAATCCTCTTGACCCGTGCACTTCAACAGAAAAGCCCTGTGGGTGGGCATTTGTCAACTTCTTCTCTGGACAAAGATGCCCATGTCAGAAACACATCCCTGAGACCCTCCCAGCATCCAGGTAGCAGCCCAGACTGACAAGTCACCCTCCACGCCAGATCCCAGCCGTGAAACATATAATCTAATCTCTTCCCCAGCCCAGCCCCTTGGGTCCCGGTTTTTATCCGCGCTCCTTCAACTCTACCACCTCTGAATCATCTAAAACCACAAGGAAACGTTTTTTGAAGGTTTTTTTTTTTTTTTTTTTTGAAGAAAGCCATCTTGTTTCAGGGAGGTTGTGATAAAAGAAAAATAGTAAGATTGTAAAAATATCTTTTACTTTTGATACGGTTACTATCAAAGGAAAAGAAAAGAAAAAAGGAAAACAAAACAAAACAAAACAACGCCAGAAACTTGAATAGCCCACGGATTGTCTGGGAAATTTATTCCTATTTGTTTTTAAATCAAACTTCTAAACACAGAACTTAAGAAGCATAAAGGAAAAGCCCACTTGAAGAAGTCATATGGTCTAATGACGGTGATTTTAGGAAAGACTTATGATTAGGTTGAATTAATTTCCTTGATTTAAACTAGATGTGAAGGCTGGGCATGGTGGCTCATGCCTGCAATCTCAGGACCTTGGGAGGCCAAGCAAGAGGATCACTTGAGGCCAGAGCTGGCGACCAGCCCGAGCCGCACAGTGAGACTTCCGTCTCTAATTAACAAAATAAATAAATAAAATAAAATATGAGGGGGTTTTACTTTGTGAGTAAAAAGTACTTGAGACTAACTCCATTTGTTGCATAAGGACTAATAATGATGCCAAATATTTGGCTTTGAAAGTTTTCTGGTCAAATTCCAAATTTTGTCATATGCAAACATGATATTCAAAAGCTAATCCAGAAGAAGGGATATGTCTATATTAACAAAAATACAACCACTTTCAGGACAAATTGCTGTCCTTTTCAGGTGGTGCTTCTCTATATCTTCAGCAAAAACAAAACAAAACAAAACAAAACAAAAAAAAACAAAAAACAAACAAACAACAACAAAAAAAAACCCCTCATTGATTCAAAATTGAAATCAATATCTGATTGAGTTAAAGAGAAGGGGCAGGATACAGAAAAAGTGGGAGAGAGGACTTTCTATACAAAGACCCCTTGTAGGTGGGTCTTGCAAGGTTTATTGCCGAGTTTAAAATGAGGAAACTGAGGCCAGTATAAGAAAATGAAAATCCAATTTATTCAGCTGCCGGGCGAGGTTCCATGGTCCCGGGGAAAGGGGCCAGGGAAGTCGTGCCAACTTCCTGGGGCGTGGGGTTTTTACGGCTAGGAGGAAGGAGCAACAGCTGGGTGCTCTGATGGACTCTAGGAGAGCGGGATTGAGAGGGGGCGGGCCGCTATTGGTTGGCGGGTTTTTGGGCGGGTTCTCCGGTGGGAGAGCCGGCCAGGAGCCTTGCATCAGCTGGAGCCTTCCAGGGGAGCCATGCGGCAGAGCTAGGTGCCCAGTGCAGAGCCTGGTGCGGGTGCAGAGGTGGGTGTGTCCGGCCTCCCGGCGAGGCAACCGGCCTTACGGGTCCCACTCCGCATCTCAGCTCCGTTCAGAAGCAGATGGAGCAACTGAAGCATCTTGTGGAAGTGATTATTATTCCTTTCTCACTTCTCAGCTTTCTGTGAAAGACAAATATAAGAGAGCAACATCCAGGGAATGAAGTAGTTAATGCTGCAAGTATGGTCTGAGGCCAACTCAGTGCCACGCGCAGTGGGAACACTTAGGGACACGGGGTCATCTGCCCAGGAGCTGAAGGCAGAACTAGATTCTCAATACACAGGATGGGGGTCTGACAGATTCTTTCAATCAGACCACAGCTTGGTCTACTCTAGGAGATGATAACTTGAGTTTCCCCCTTTGACTTAATCAACACTTCAGCTCCTGCTGTGGGTCTGCGCCTAGCCAGGTGGGACTGGATGAAGAATTAGAGGGGCTCTGAGTCTAACTAGGGATGTCTCAGAGAAAATTGTGTAATTCAAATATGTAGCTATGCATTTCCTGTTAGCCAAGTTTAACAATATAGCAAGAAACAAGATAAATTAATTTTAATATCCAAAGGATTATCATTGTAACATGTAAATCAATTTTCACCTTATTAATGAGACATTTTTCTCATGATGTCTTCAAAATCCGGAGCAGATTTCACACTCAAAGTGCACCTCCCTGTAGATAAACCTCATTGCAGGTGACAAGAGCCACATGGGGTTGGCAGCTCCTATACTAGCCCAGTTCCATTCCCTTTCACAATCTCAACACTAAGCTGTGATGAATCGCACCCTTTATTTCAACTAGAATTTCAGATTTAGAAGATTAGAGCTATTCATATATATATTCTCTCTCTCTCCGTACACACACACACACACACACACACACACGTATATAAACTTCTCCTGCCATATATAGTCCAAGTAGTGGAAAGTCCTTAGTGGCGAGTCCTTCGTCCTTCTTGCCTTGTGCTAGGGATGGTACGTAACATATCTATGCATGTGAAGATGAAACAGCCTCAGTTCTTTCATCTCCTGGATCTACATTACTGTTATGTACATTTCACCCCAGCAAAGGCTGCACACTCTCAAGAAGCAAGCAGATGTCCTATCCATCTTCTAACATGGTTACATCTGCTGCCTCCACTGCTTCAACTTACTGAAGTCAGAACCCCAAAAGGAGAGTTGATTGTGCACTTTCTGCTCAATAGTTTCTCAAAAGAATGAGATCAGGACAAATCACCACCCAGGGGAAGCTGATTTCCAGGAGCAAGGAACCGAAGCCCAGCTGAGAGCTATTCTACGCCTGACCTCAAGGATGCTAAAGTTCCAAGGTTAGGTATCTGGAGCCCTCCCCATGAAGGCCCCAGAAAAGCCAGCAGTGAAAAGTGCTCTCCATTAAATACAGAAGTCAGCTGAATTTTGGCCCGTAATATTTTTATGCTCTTTAAGCAACACTAGTTCTCTCTCCTGAGTATGGATTAGAACCACCTGGATATTTTTAAGGACGTATAATTATTTAGGTCATGCCCCATACCTGTGCCAT